AAAAAGAAAGTCCCACGGACAGATTCGGGAAGTTATTTTTTTTAAATAAATTTTTTTTTGGGGGGGGGGTTTAACCCTTCTCTCGACCTCAACTGATGTGTTTCATAGGGAAATCATTATTAAGCTCTGTAATCATTACAGATCGAGCGGGTCGTCAAAGTTTGTGTACAGATTGGAGTTCATGTTAGATGATGATGATGATGGCGGCAGCAGCAGTCGGTGAAAGTCCACACAGAAGCACTGACGATAAAACATCCACCCGAAGACTGAATGACGGTAAAAAAACATCACACTACTTAAAGGCTGCATTCAGCTTTGTATTGTTACAATGTCGGTGTTACAAGTAAATGACTAATGTGTATTATTTTGGCGTGTTACCTGCACCAAGATATCCCCGTTTATTTGTCAGGAAAAGTCCGGGAGCAATCAAAAGTTGTGAAAACTACAGATCCTACTTCCGCATTTTTGTATCCCCGATCACGGATAGTCCGCACGAGCCCTGTGCATTATGGGTTTTGAAGTTTTCGTAACTTTTTTGGGTTTTTTCCGTCACAGCCCCTTTTATCTGTTTTCTCTTATCGTGTAGAACCAAACAAATTGCGTTTCAACTGCATGACAGCCAGCTTCTATAATAATAATAATAAAACATTTGCGGTGAATTACCCTTTTAAGGACTCGATGCTTATTTGTCCCCCATGTACTTTTTTGTGTAGTGATTAGGCACTCCATGGTAGTTTAAAGAATACCATGGTGCGTTTTGTATTCAAACAAAAAGTTCTAAAAAGTACCATGGTATGTATCATACCATCCTTATGAAAGTACCATATTATCATTACCTTGGAGCTTCATAGTGTGGGACTGCCATCAGAGAATGGGATCATTGTAAAACAGAGAAACCAGTTAATCACATGTCTGTCCATCCACTGGTCAAACTCCAGAAACCAGACGTGCTTTTTGTTCCTTATTTTCTGTGATATTCAGACATGTGCAATAATATTTTCGATAATACAATGTTTCTTGCTTTAATTCTCACATTCTAGTATTATTTCTCAGTCTAATAACATTGATAAATTAACTTGATTGCCAGGAAATAGTTTCTACATGCAACAGCGTGAATATCCAGTGCAGATGAATTCATCTGTTTAGGTGTGTCTTTAACTGACGATAGTGACTAGCTACATTCAGAAATGTTCGTAACGCTGGCGTTTGTCAGGGTTTAGATCTAAATATCTTTCCCGTGTCTCTTGCAGTGAAGGTAATGAAGTTCATCGGTCTGGTGGTTTTGGTGATCCAGAATGTATCGCTCATCCTCAGCATCAGCTACGTGTGGACGTTGTCTGATTTCTTGGCCACATCTGCTGTTGTGATGGCAGAGATTCTTAAAGTTCTTACGTGTCTGTTTATCATCTCGATGCAGAAGACTGGAGAAGCAAGCTTTTATGACATTGCGTGGGTTGGCAGAACCGTTTCACTATAAATACTTGTGTGTTGAACAGTGTAATGTGACCGTTGTCATAAGATGTTCCATTTAAGCGATTCTATAGATATGTCTTTGTTTTGAAATAAACAACTCTCTTGTCCATTATATCATAATTAGTGGCAAATATGTATTGTAAAAAACACTATGCAATTATGATAATATTTGCATTCATTTTTGTCATATAAAGTCGCTTTATCACATTGTAGGCTACAATTAAAATCAGCTGTTAATAAATCTGAACAACGTCAAATGAGGACAAATGTGTATTTAAGCAATAAAGACACATTTTGCACATGTTATGTTTTTTTTACATGCCCCTTTTCTCAATCTGTATAGGTTTTGGGTTAATTGTGTGAGGATGCGTGTTGAACAGCCTCAAATAATGTCTAGTTTTGTTCAGAAATAATCTGTATATTTCCTTACTGTAAACCATAGGCATAACTTTTATTCAAATGAACCGACATTATAAGATTATAATAATAATTGCAATTGATAATTTCAGTCTGAGTTGTGAATCATGCGATGAAAAGACTACAGAAACTATTGCTTGCTTCTGCCATCTAGAGGTTCCTGTAGAGCGAAACATACTTCTTGAGAGACTTCTTTTTGTAATCTTTAATTATTGTTGAGCAACACTATAGCAATAGTTTAGTTACCCGTTTAGTCCATACATTGGTGTCAATTAAATGTTAAAGATAGTACAGATTTAATTAAGAGTTAAAACTAAATTTTAAATGTAATGGTCTATGGTAATTCAGTAACACTTTACTTGAAGGGGTGTGCATAAGACTGACATGACACCTTCATAATCATAACATGCCGCATGAATATGAAGGAGGTTTTATGCATGTTTATGACAACTGTCATTAAGTGTCATTCGCTCAGTTATGTCACTTTTAATGCAAATATGACATTATTTGACCTAACCCTAACCTAACACTACCCCTACCCTTATCCCTAACCATAGCCCATAACAAAGACATCTCAAACAATGTCATCTTTGCATTAAAAATGTCATAACTGAGCGAATGACACTTAATGACAGTTGTCATAAACATGCATAAAACCTCCTTCATATTCATGTGTCATGTCATGATTATGTAGGTGTCATGTCATGATTATGAAGGTGTCATGTCAGTCTTATGCACACCCCTTCAAGTAAAGTGTAACCGGTAATTCTAATATACAAATGTTTTTGCAAATAGTGCAGTAATAAAATAATATTATATTATTGGAAATATGTTTTTTCCTTCACTAAACAAACAAATCCTTAATCCCCAAACCTCCATGGGTCGCATAATTCCCTTAAAAATGGCTATATAAGAAAATAGCATGGTATTGCCATGTGATATCAACAGTGGTAATGGTATTTGTTTGCCCCGAGCCTGCAGGCGGCGCTAAAACGTCTCCAGAATTCAGAACACGAGAAAGCGAAGAAGACCGCGTAACAGGAAGTGCTTGTGTGTTTGGGGACGTCAACACTTTTCCTCAGAAGCTCTGCTCATTCCCACCGCATTTGTGAGCCGTTTCATGGGGCAGAGGCGGGGAGGTTATCATTAAGTATCATTAACGTTTACCATTACAGATCGAGCGGATCGTGTGAGTTTGTGGACAGATCGGGGTTCATGTTTGATGATGATAATGGCAGCAGCAGCAGTCAATGAGAGTCCTAACAGAAGCACTGAAGATAAAACATCCACCCGAGGACAGAATGAAGGTGAGTAACAGCATTTTATTTATGGTTTAAACGTCTGACAGCTTAAGGACTCTATGGTTTCAACGAAGAAGTCAACTCACCCGTTAGAAAATGAAGAATGGTAACCATAGTTACCACCCAAATTCCTTAGTCACCTGTAATAAAGACATACTTTGATATATTACCATGGTTATTGGACGAATATCATGGTACTGTTTTTTACGGACAATGTAAATAACATGACATGAGAATATGGTACTGAGGTATTGCCGTATGATTTCATCACTTACAAAAAGTACCATGGTATTCTTTAAAGTATCTTGGAATGAATACCATGGTTCATGAGTATGGCAGTCTTTCAAGTATTCAGCAAAGGAAAAAAATACAAAGATTCTCATTTAAAGTTAGTCTAATTTATTATGATTGTCCAGTAGCAACAATAACATTTGTAGTAATTCTGGTATTTTGTAAACCATTAGAAAAAAAAAATTCACAGTACTATAGATTTTATGCATATACTATAGAATTTTTTGAAGTTCTATGTAGATAGCATGAACATGGCAGTCATTCAATACTATAGTGAAAATCAAAGTACCGTGGAATTGGTTATGGATTACTACGGGACTTTTTTTAGTAAGGTGTAGTTTTGATGTAGAGCCCAAATAATGGAAATCAGGAGCTCAATACAACACATTTTACGATATTGCAAAGGAAAACAATATCTATTTTTTGGTTTTACTTCAAAAATATAGTCATTCCAAATTTACTTTGAGAAAGTTGCACATCTGTTCACTGCATTACATAGTCTTCTAATCAAATATTAAAGGTCACGTATTGTTCACCTTTCTGGAGTTTTATTTGAGGTTTTGATGTCCTTAAGAATATATATTTGCGGTATAAGTACCAAAAACCATTTACAGCTCCTCTCTCAGGAGCTCTGCTGAGAACAGGTCGATTTTGGCCTGTCTAATTAATATTCATGAGCCTCTCTTCTGATTGGCCTGTTGTTTTCTGAGTGACGCACGGCCAGAACAACCACAGGTAACTAGGGTCAGCGACGTCACAGCGCTAGCTGGGGGCAGCAAAACAAAGAGGAAACTGGAGGCGGCCCATTCAAACCAGCGCAGATTCGGCTACATAAGGAGCTTAAAATATCATCTTGTTGTGATGTTGGGTGCCAGAATCGACGTAATACAGCCTCAAATTAGAAATTTGATCGCATATCTGCTGCCACTGTCAGACAAAAAACCAACGACAGCTGTGGTTAAACGCGATAAAACGAGCAGACTGGACAGAAACGAT